GAATGGCGGGCTTTCTAAGCGTTCCGTGAGGAAAGACTTGAACGAAACAGACGAGTTTTTGATTTAACCGTGGACCATTCTTTCGCTGGACAAAACATAGGATTTTATGTATTATTGGAATAAAATATACATATTAATGTAAAGCAATTTTAGTTATCATGTAATGGATAAAAAATTTGGAGATGTTTGTCGCCAACTACTATGGGAAGATCCTCAAACTATTCTCATGTGTTTTCAGAAATCTATTAAAAAAATGGATATGAGGTAATAAATCTTATTGTTGATATTAATTAGCCATTTAATTTCTTTATATTTGCTACTATCATTTCAGAACATCCGAAGTTGTAAGTACATGGGATTCTTCAAAATATGGCTTATCATTGTGTTGCTCATCAGATAATCGGTACACTTTTGTAACGGGATATATTAAGATTGCTCTATGGGATCAGAGACAAAGTGATGCCATTCAAGTTTGTATTTTATTTTTAAATTATTTGTATTATGTACTTTATTAGTGAATTATTATTGTCTTAAAAATTTTTAGACGTATACTATGGACAAATATAGAGGAGGTATATATGCTTTAGAATTTGATAACACTCATATTTATGTTCGTAAAGGCTTTAATCTTTATGAATTAGATTTTACGGAAAGACACCACTTTGATCGCATAGAAATAAAAAAGTTATTTGGCAATTTTTATTAAATAATGCAAAATCGGTTTAAAATTTTTTTATTATATTTTATATGTTTACATCATTTTAATGAAATCTATACAAATTGAGAACCGCCGTGCTGCTCAAGATGCGATCAGTCAAAAAGATCATTCGATTTGTTTTGTCTCTTTTTGTTGTACATTCTCTTCACTGAATTTTATACATGTATATATTCATGTATACTCTACACATATGTATATAAAAAATGGAGGCTTTCCAACAGCCTATAAGGAAAAGAGACAAAACAATCCCATTGTTTTTCTCTGTTTTTTTTTATGCTACACTTATATGAAAAAGCTTGTATTAGACGAGCCTGCATGCAACTTGTTGCAGCAATTCACAAGCGATCTAGTAAATTACTATAGCACAAAAATTCATAAATGATAAAGTCTGGCCAAGTTCCAAAAAAGACACTCCAATATGTTTATATTTTAATAATTATTTAAATTTTTAATATATTACCAACATGAAAAGTAACTGATAT